CCTGGTTTAGACCTGGTTTAGTCCTGGTTTTAGTCCTGGTTTACCTGGTTTAGACCTGGTTTACCTGGTTCAGTCCTGGTTCAGTCCTGGTTTAGTTAGTCCTGGTTTAGTCCTGGTTTAGTCCTGGTTTAGTCCTGGTTTAGTCCTGGTTTAGTCCTGGTTTAGTCCTGGTTTAGTCCTGGTTTAGTCCTGGTTTAGTCCAGGTTTAGACCTGGTTTAGACCTGGTTTAGTCCCGGTTTAGACCCGGTTTAGACCCGGTTTAGACCCGGTTTAGACCCGGTTTAGTCCTGGTTTAGTCCTGGTTCAGTCCTGGTTTAGTCCTGGTTTAGTCCTGGTTAGTCCTGGTTTAGTCCTGGTTTAGTCCTGGTTTAGTTTCCTGGTTTAGTCCTGGTTTAGTCCTGGTTTAGACCTGGTTTAGTCCTGGTTTAGTCCTGGTTCAGTCCTGGTTTAGTCCTGGTTCAGTCCTGGTTCAGTCCTACCTGGTTTAGTCCTGGTTTCCTGGTTTAGTCCTGGTTTCCTGGTTTAGTCCTGGTTTAGTCCTGGTTTAGTCCTGGTTTAGACCTGGTTTAGTCCTGGTTTAGTCCTGGTTTACCTGGTTAGACCTGGTTTAGACCTGGTTTAGACCTGGTTTAGACCTGGTTTAGTCCTGGTTTAGTCCTGGTTTAGTCCTGGTTTAGACCTGGTTTAGTCCTGGTTTAGTCCTGGTTTCAGTCCTGGTCAGTCCTGGTCCTGGTTTAGTCCTGGTTTAGTCCTGGTTTAGTCCTGGTTTAGTCCTGGTTTAGACCTGGTTTACCTGGTTTAGTCCTGGTTAGTCCTGGTTTAGTCTGGTTCTGGTTCCTGGTTAGTCCTGGTTAGTCCTGGTTTAGTCCTGGTTTCCTGGTTTAGTCCTGGTTAGTCCTGGTTTAGTCCTGGTTTAGTCCTGTTTAGTTTAGTCCTGGTTTAGTCCTGGTTTAGTCCTGGTTTAGTCCTGGTTAGTCCTGGTTCCTGTTAGTTCAGTCCTGGTTTAGTCCTGGTTTAGTCCTGGTTTAGTCCTGGTTTAGTCCTGGTTTCTGGTTTAGTCCTGTTTAGTTTAGTTTCCTGGTTTAGTCCTGTTTAGTCCTTTAGTCCTGTTTCAGTCCTGGTTAGTCCTTTAGTCCTGGTTTAGTCCTGGTTTAGTCCTGGTTTAGTCCTGGTTTAGTCCTGGTTTAGACCTGGTTTAGTCCTGGTCCTGGTTTAGTCCTGGTTTAACTCAGGTCTTGTTTCAGTCGGCTCAGTACCAGATGAAGAAGCAGCGCTGTAAACATCTTCGCTCCAAACTGTCCCACCTCAAGAGGAAGATCAGCGAGTACGACCACAGACCCTGAACCTGGACCTGGACCCGGACCTGGACCCAGACCGGCACCCGACTTGGACCTGGACCCGACCTGAACCTGAACCAGGACTGGATCTGGACCAGTCTGGGTCACAATCAAGTTTAAATCAGAACAAACGACCACATGAAGTTTTATCTACAAATGGACTAAACCAGGACTAAACCGGGACTAAACCGGGACTAAACCTGGACTAAACCTGGACTAAACCGGGACTAAACCGGGACTAAACCGGGACTAAACCGGGACTAAACCGGGACTAAACCGGGACTAAACTGGGACTAAACCAGGACTTCTTGTAAACTCTTTAAGCGTCTCAGTGTTTTTGAACCAAATCTTTTCAGTTTTTTCTAGTTTTAGAACAAAAAATGTTTTATTTAATTTTGAAGACAAACGTTTGTGTTGAATATTGAAAAGTCTGTGACATTTGGATCAGTTTTTAAAGAACAACTGTGTAACTTTTGGATGATTTTTTGGTGTTTTTAAATGTCTCGTGGGTCTTTGTGCAGACGCTGTCCTTTTTTATCCATATGAAGTTGAATCTTGTATAAACTCCTAAATTAAATCCTTTAAATCTCTCTGGATTTACACTTTGACTTTCTGTCTTTCAAAACCTGAAGGATCATGTGACCTGTTCTCTACGGCTCCGGGTCCGACTCCGGCTCCAGGTCTGACTCTGGGTCTGACTCCGGGTCCGGGTCCGGGTCCGGGTCTTTGTATTTGTGCAATGAGCTTTGAATAAACAGATTTTTATCGTTTTACTGTGAAAATAAAAAAATAAAACTTTTACTGAACTCAACTTTGTCCAAATTATAAAGAAGAAGAGAGGGTCAGAGGATCAGAGGGAGTCAGAGGGTCAGAGGGTCAGAGGGTCAGGGAGAGGAGGTCAGAGGGTCAGAGGAGGGTCAGAGAGTCAGAGGGTCAGAGGAGGTCAGAGGGGAGGGTCAGAGGGTCAGAGGAGGGTCAGAGGAGAGTCAGAGTCAGAGGGTCAGTCAGAGGGTCAGAGGAGAGAGAGAGGGTCAGAGGGTCAGAGGAGGGTCAGAGGGTCAGAGGGTCAGAGGAGGGTCAGAGAGGAGGAGTCAGAGGAGGGTCAGAGGGTCAGAGGGTCAGAGGAGAGTCAGAGGGTCAGAGGGTCAGAGGAGGTCAGAGGAGAGAGGGTCAGAGGAGGGTCAGAGGAGGGTCAGAGAGGAGGGTCAGAGGAGGGTCAGAGGGTCAGAGGAGGGTCAGAGAGAGGGTCAGAGAGGGAGAGGGTCAGAGAGGGTCAGGGTCAGAGAGGGTCAGAGGAGGGTCAGAGGAGGGTCAGAGAGGGTCAGAGGAGGGTCAGAGGTCAGGTCAGAGGAGGTCAGAGGAGAATCAGAGGGTCAGAGAGTCAGAGGGTCAGAGGGTCAGAGGGTCAGAGGGAGGGTCAGAGGGTCAGAGAGAGGGTCAGAGGAGGGTCAGAGGAGGGTCAGAGGGGGTCAGAGGAGGTCAGAGGAGGGTCAGAGGAGGAGGGTCAGAGGAGGGTCAGAGAGGAGTCAGAGGTCAGAGAGAGGGTCAGAGGGTCAGAGGAGGGTCAGAGGAGGGTCAGAGGGTCAGAGGAGGGTCAGAGAGGGTCAGAGGAGGGTCAGAGGGTCAGAGGAGGGTCAGAGGAGGGTCAGAGGGTCAGAGGAGGGTCAGAGGAGGGTCAGAGGGTCAGAGGGGGGTCAGAGGAGGGTCAGAGGAGGGTCAGAGGAAGGTCAGTATATTAGATGATTCAGACCTCGTTGCGCCCCCTGCTGGTCTCTGGTGTCTGCAGCAGATTCAAAAAGCAAAAGTCTCAAAAACAAAAAAAAACAAAACCTTATTTTTCGTCACTGTTGATCAAAATAAATAAATCAGAAAACTGGACAGAGACTCGATCCACAGGTCAAACCCGTCGTTTTGTTTCTTTTATTAGGTTTGATTCACCGTCGTTTATTTGTTTCCCTTTTTTCTTGCTGTTTTTGAACAATCGTGAACGTGTCTCGACAGATTATTTATAAATGTGAATTTTGAAAAAAACACGGAGCATCCGGAACTTTTGTGTTTTTACAGAAATGGATTTTTATCAAAGTCATTTTTAAAATTCTTTTTTTTCTTTTTTTTACCGTCCTTTTTATCACAGTGGTGTTGTCTTCTTAACATTTATTATTTGACTTTATATTTTAATTAATTTATTTATATTATGATGTTTTTGTTTGTTTATATTTATTAATTTTAATTTATTAATTTGTTTGTTTGTTTTTGTTTATTGTTTTCTGGCCTTTTTTTATTTGAACATTTTGAAATAAAAGTGTCCAGGTCACGGAGACGTCACAAACGTCACACTGGTCTAGTCCTGTTAGTCCTGGTTTAGTCCTGGTCTAGTCCTGGTCTAGTCCTGGTCTAGTCCTGGTCTAGTCCTGGTCAATTCCTGGTTTAGTCCTGGTCTAGTCCTGGTTTAGTCCTGGTCTAGTCCTGGTTTAGTCCTGGTTTAGTCCTGGTCTAGTCCTGGTCTAGTCCTGGTCTAGTCCTGTTTTAGTCCTGGTCTAGTCCTGGTCTAGTCCTGGTCTAGTCCTGGTTTAGTCCTGGTCTAGTCCTGGTCTAGTCTAGTCCTGGTCTAGTCCTGGTCTAGTCCTGGTTTAGTCCTGGTTTAGTCCTGGTCTAGTCCTGGTCTAGTCCTGGTCTAGTCCTGGTCTAGTCCTGGTTTAGTCCTGGTTTAGTCCTGGTCTAGTCCTGGACTAGTCCTGGTTTAGTCCTGGTCTAGTCCTGGTCTAGTCCTGGTTTAGTCCTGGTTTATTCCTGGTCTAGTCCTGGTCTAGTCCTGGACTAGTCCTGGTTTAGTCCTGGTCTAGTCCTGGTCTAGTCCTGGTTTAGTCCTGGTTTAGTCCCAAACGTCACAAACGTCACGTCGCCGTTCTGCCCCGACGCTTTTCTCTGCGCACACGCCACCTGGACCAATCAGAGGCCTCGCTTTACTTCCGTGTTTTCAGACTTGTCGCGGTGTGATTGGCCGCGGCCGCTCCCTGCCGCGCTGTGATTGGTCGGTTCCGGGTGCGGGGACAGGACGATGCTGAGGACGCGGTCCGTGCGCTTCTCCGCGGGCTCCGTGATGCTGCGGCCGGGCTCCGCGCTGCTCCCGGTGCTGCTGCTGCTCGGGTTCGGCTGCTCCGTGTCCGAGGCTCGGGACTCGGACCTGAGCTCCGTGACGTGCGGCTCTTTGGTCAAACTGCTGAACACGAGACACAACGTGAGGCTGCACTCGCACGACGTCAAGTACGGCTCAGGTAACGCGCTTCCGGGACGTTTACAACTATTTACAACATTTAGAACGTTTAGAACCTCACACATCTGCACGTTTATCGGGACGTTTATTTTCGTCTTTAATAAATCCACGAGCGGCCGCGTCCTGCGTGTTTCTGCTGAACCAGAGTCAAGTGTTTGTCGTGGGGTCGTGGGTTTTTTTGTTTTTGTTTTTTTTTGACGCGTTTCTGAAAAAACACAAACGTGTTTTAAAGATAAAATGTGATTGTGTCAAATCTGAGTTTATAAAAGTGTCTTTAACGTCCTCCTCCGCGCGCGTGCGCTGCACCTGTCCCCCCGCTGCACCTGCCCCCCCGCTGCACCTGCCATACTCAGACAGGGCACATCTTATTTTAAAGGAGTGAGGGAGAAAAGAGGAGAGGTGGAAAAGTGTGTGTAAAGTGTGTGAAGTTTGTAAAGTGTGTGAAGTGTGTAAAATGTGTGTAAGGTGTGTGAAGTTTTTAAAGTGTGTAAAATGTGTGTCTCTGACGCTGGACTCAGATCCTGTGTGAACCAGGACGTGTCACATACACAGATATTTATTGGTCCTGGTTTAGACCTGGTTTAGACCTGGTTTAGACCTGGTTTAGTCCTGGTTTAGTCCTGGTTCAGTCTTGGTTTAGTCCTGATAAAATCCTTTGTAAAAGTTGTACTTGACAGTGTGTTTAGGTACGAGGCCCCGCCCTCCTCAGGTTCTTTTCACTCTGAATAAAAGAGCTGAAACCGAGACTCAGGTCACGTCTGATCCTCAAACTGTTTTAGAAAAGAGAAAAGAGCTCCTCCCTGTGACCTCTGACCCGTGTGTGTGTGTGTGTGTTCAGGCAGCGGGCAGCAGTCGGTGACCGGGGTGGACGCGGCCGACGACGCCAACAGTTACTGGCAGATCCGCGGCGTGGGGCCCGGGCGCCCGTGTGCCCGCGGGACGCCCGTCAAGTGTGGACAACAACTGAGACTCACCCACATGAAAACAGGACGGAACCTGCACTCGCACCACTTCACCTCCCCCCTGTCCAACAACCAGGTGTGTGTGCGTGTGTGTGTGTGTAAGTGTGTAACTGTCCAACAACCAGTGTGTGTGTGCGTGTGTGTGTGTGTAAGTGTGTAACTGTCCAACAACCAGGTGTGTGTGTGAAGCTGTAGTGTTTTTAATCATGTTTTTAGTGTGTTTTTAGCGTGTTTGTGTTTTTAGCGTCTTCTTTTGTGTTTTTTGCATGTGTTTTTGTGTGTTTTTAGTGTTCTTTTGTGTGCTTTTAGCATGTTCTTATGTGTTTTTTTGTGTTTTTAGTGTTTTTAATGTGTTCTTTTGTGGTTTTAGTTTTTTTAGCGTGTTCTTTTGTGTGTTTTTAGTGTGTTCTTTAGTGTGTTTTTATGGCGCTTTTTTGTGTGTTTTAGCGTGTTCTTTTGTGTGTTTTTTGTGTTTTTAGCGTGTTCTTTTGTGTGTTTCTTGCGTGTGTTTTTGCGTGTTTTTTGTGTTTTTAACGTGTTTTTAGTGTGTTCTTGTGTGTTTTTAGTGTTTTTATGGCACTTTTTAGTGTTTTTAGCGTGTTCTTTTGTGTGTTTTTAGCGTGTTCTTTTGTGTTTTTTGCATGTGTTTTTGTGTGTTTTTAGTGTTTTTAGTGTTCTTTTGTGTGTTTTTAGTGTTTTTACGTGTTCTTTTGTGTTTTTAGTTTTTTTAGCGTGTTCTTTTGTGTTTTTAGTGTGTTCTTTAGTGTGTTTTTATGGCACTTTTTTGTGTGTTTTAGCGTGTTCTTTTGTGTGTTTTAGCGTGTTCTTTTGTGTTTTTATGGCACTTTTTGTGTTTTTAGTGTTTTTAGAGTGTTCTTTAGTGTGTTTTTAGTGTTTTTAGCATGTTCTTTGTGGGCAGGAGGTGAGCGCGTTCGGCGAGCGCGGCGAGGGCGATGACCTGGACGTGTGGGCGGTGCAGTGCGATGGCGAGCACTGGGAGCGCGACGACAGCGTGCGCCTCCGACACGTTGGCACCGACGTCTTCCTGTCCGTCACCGGGGAAACGTACGGCCATCCAATCAGAGGCCAGCGCGAGGTCCACGGCATGAGCTCGCCCGGACCGCACGCCCTCTGGAGGACGATGGAGGGAGTGTTCATCCAGCCCAGCGCCGAGCCAATCAGACACGACGAGCTGTGAGGTCATCGGGGCAAGACGTGAGGTCACAAGGTCTTAAGGTCTTGAGATCCTGAGGTTCTTGAGGATCTTGAGGATTTTGAGGGTCTTGAGGATTTTGAGGGTCTTGAGGATCTTGAGGTTCTTGAGGATCTCGAGGTTCTTGAAGGTCCTGAGGTCCTTGCGGATGGTGGAGTCTTAGATCAGCGGCAGGGCCGGTCCTGTTGATGATCTGTCACAGAATTGTCTTGTTCAAACTTTTCTTTGGTAAAATTGTCATCTTCTTCCTGCCTCTGCACGGCGCCCCCTCCAGGCCTCAGCTCCGAGCACACGAACACCTGTCTGCTCCTGTCTGCACGTGTCACACCTGCCCCCGTACTGCACCTGTCGCACCTGTCGTTAAACAGACTCTTTTCCATTGGACGATTCTTTTTCTGTTTTATTTAAACTTTAAAATCTAAAATCTCCTCCTGCTGTAAAACTCAGACGAGACGTTGTTTTTGCTTGGACCAAACTTTGCTCCTGTAACAGTCTGAATATTTACTCTAGAACCACCTGTCTGCACCTGTCTGCACCTGTCTGCTCCTGTCTGCTCCTGTCTCCTGTATTCACCCGTCGTCATAAACAGGTGTAAAAACAAACTCTGCTCCGTCAGAAGAGAAAAGTAGATTTTATTGTTGCTTGTTTTAGTTTGTTTTTCTGGTGTTTCTCTAAAGGGAAGTTTGTGATTTAATAAAGTTTTTTTATTCTCA